CCTGGGCCCCCTGCATTGGGAGCGTGGAGTCTTAACCACTGGACCACTTAACCACCAGGGAAGTCCTGCTCTAGGGTAGCTCGAACTGTGCTTGCAGCCAGAAAGCACTCCTGCAAGGACTGCCGGCATCCCCATAGTTCCAGATGGTGACCCTTTTGTCCTCATCCCTATGGCTGCAGGAGGCTGACGCTCATGCCCAGCTTCTCCCGTAGTGGTGCAAATAAGCTCAGAAGTTCTTTAACTTGCAGTGGTAGACCACTGGTGGAGCCGGCATCTGGGGCGTGGCAGGGAGGGTTAGGCCCGAGGGGTTGCAACAGACCCATCATCTCGTATTATCTATGTATTGAATTGACATTCACCAACTGGGTTAGCACAGGGTTACTGTGGATAACTGGGCTGTTTAGAAGTCCCACTGCTCCCCCCTCCCCCTCCCGGAAAGAACAGAGATGAGTTGAAGATTGTCAGGAGATGATGATCTGCTGCAAATGGTCATTCACAAAGTTATTGACCTGCCCACCTGCGATGGCCACTCATTGGACCCTTGACTCAGCACTCAAGCCTCACTCCGTGGCTGCATGACAAAGCAATTGGATGATGCGATGAGTTTTAAACTTCTCAACTTTTGTGGTTTTGGTGGCTAGGAACCAGAGCCCTAGTTACAGGAGTGTTTTCTAATCTCTATGGGGTTTTTCCGTTTAATTTTCGGTTTATGATCCAGCGCTCATACGTGGATGAGCTGTACTTTCTGCTTTCCCCGTGTTGTCCACTTTGTAAACTTGAATGGTTTCACGGGTCACCTTCTCTGTCCCTGACACCTCTCCCTCTTGTGGAATGACCTGTTCCTTTACTTGTACCCACACAGCCCGTTATGCTGTGAGAGCCCATAGCTCTCATTATAGTCTGATTATGTCAATATAATCCCAATATAAGGAATATAACTCACATAATTCTCCCCAATGGAAGAAGATTCTGGAGGGGAGGGACTACATGTTTTCTCATCCTTGAGCCCTCAGTACCGGGGCTGGGTCTGACCCAGGATCAGGCTGCAGGAAATGTTTACTGAGCTGAACTGAACTTCAAAAGAGTAAAGCGTGTGCAACAATTTGATGGTGAAAATGGCAGATCTGGGCCACTCGATATATACATGGAGGAAAGAAAGACACTGCAGCAAGTTCTAGCAGGGTATGTGGAAACTGCCTGAGAGCGTGTCCACCTTTCTTTTTCCAACCAACTACAGCTGCTAGCATGCATTCCTCAGTGTCAAAAGGCTTGAGTGTTTCAAGATGCATTTTTGGAATGCTGGGCTAGCCATCGAGAATTTAAGATGTTTATAGGATATGCTTTCTGGTGAGATCACTGCAAAAGTTTGAATTGTAGAATATGAATTTTCTTTTAAAGAAATGCAATTATATTACTTTGAAGACTATACTAAGTGTAATTGAACTAAGCTGAGAGGAAGGACCTAGGCTTTGCATAACCACCAAGTAAACTAGGTCTTTTGGAAGAGAAACTTGGGGACCTTAATGAGTATACAAATGATTCATAATTAGCAGGCATGTTGTTTGTAAATAGTTTATTATCCCACATAGTTTAAATGCTTCCTCATTTTAGATATACGATCAATTTGCTTAATAGCCTCTGTTTAAACGATCACAAATACTGGATCAGGGATATTTAAAATTTTTTTATTTTTTATTTTATTTATTTTTGGCTGCATTGGGTCTTTGTTGCTGCGTGCGGGCTTTCTCTAGTTGCGGTGAACGGGGGCTACTCTTCGTTGCGGTGCGCGGGCTTCTCATTGCAGTGGCTTCTCTTGTTGCGGAGCACGGACTCTAGGCGCACGGGCTTCAGTACTTGCGGCATGCGGGCTTTAGAGCACAGGCTCAGTAGTTGTAGCGCACGGGCTTAGCTGCTCCGTGGCATGTGGGGTCTTCCCGGACCAGGGCTCGGACCCATGTCCCCTGCATTGGCAGGCGGATTCTTAACCGCTGCGCCACAAGGGAAGTCCCGGCATGTTTGAACTGATACGTTTTTGTTTCATTCATTGATCTAACCAGTATTTATTGAAAGCCCATTCTGTTCCAGACCCTGGGCATAGCAATGAGCAAAATCAAGTCCTTGTCTTCTTGGAACATTCTAGTGAGGCGAGGCGTGATAAGGGTTGCAAAAATCCAGATGGCTACTATTCTGTATGATTAACTTGTTTCAACGTAAGGCACTTTTGTGTTGTCCTGGAATAGCTAAAGATGGATACATCATTAGAAACACATTCCTGGTCTATAGGACTTGGAGATAAAAACAGAGAGAATGACACCTTCACCCTCACCTTGGATTTCTTCCATTAGGGACTGCTCACACTTATAGTGCAAACCCCTTAAAACCACATCACCCTTTGGTTCATCCGCAGAAATGCGTTGGTGGCTTGTGTATACCCAACACTTCTTTGCAATTAACAATTACAGTGATTTGCATGAGCAACGATTCAACACTCATGGGAGTAAAAGGTCATTTTCAGGCTTGATGCCACTGACCTTCATATCAAAGGAGCTCAGCTGGGTTGCCAGTTTTTACTTATTCTGCCCATTTTTTTGGCAGATTTTAGAGAGCAGATATTTTCAGAGTTGGTGATTCAAAAAGTAGCAAAATATATGGATTTGGAGTGAGAGGGCCTGGATTCACGTTATCCACCCGCCATTTATTGGTCAGGTGACCTTATGAAGCTCTTCTAACCTGTAGACCTTAGTTTCATCATAAAAATGTGGCTAAAACTGCCTGTGCTGGTTACTTCGGGGGTGTAAGTGATTTATAATAATTTATAAATGAAAGTGTCCCATGTTGAATGAACATGGGCCGTTGCTATGATAATTTATAACACACTTCCATGACTTTCTTCAGTAGTTTTCAGTTCTGTAGCTTTAATAAATAGGGACAGAGAAAACTGCTGACCCACTGGGCATGGCAGCTGAGTTTTCAATAACTGTTAGTCCTAAGGAGGGATGAGGTGTAGGGCTAGAGACCAGAGATGAAATGAGAGGGGAGGGCAGGTGTGGTGGGAGTGAGGAACAGCCGGTGGCTGGGCGGGGGTCTGTGGTTATAGAGGGAGAGTTCTTTTTTGTTGTTGTTGTTAATTATTTTATTGAAGTATAATTGATTTACCATGTTGTGGCAATCTCAGCTGTACAGAAAAGTGACTCAGTTATACACACACACACATTCGTTTTTTAATATTCTTTTCCATGATGGTTTATCCCAGGATATTGAATATAGTTCCCTGTGCTATACAGTAGGTCCTTGTTTTTTATCCATCCTATATATAATAGTTTACATCTGCTAATCCCACACTTCCCTCCCCCACCAACCTCCCCCTTGGCAACCACAAGTCTGTTCTCTATGTCTGTGAGTCTGTTTCTGTTTTTTAGATAGGTTCATTTGTGCCATGTTTTAGATTCCACATATAAGATATCATATGGTATTTGTCTTTCTGACTTACTTAACTTAGCATGATAATCTCTAGTTGCATCCATGTAGCTGCAAGTGGCATTATTTCGTTCTTTTTTATGGCTGAGTAGTATTCCATTGTCTATATGTACCACATCTTCTTCATCCATTCATCTGTCGATGGACATTTAGGTTGCTTCCATGTCTTGGCTATTGTGAATAGTGCTGCTATGAACATAAGCGTGCGTGTATCTTTTTGAATTATAGTTTTGTCCGGGAATATTGCTGAATCATATGTTAATTCTATTTTTAGTTTTCTGAGGAAGCGCCACACTGTTTTCCATAGTGGCTGCACCAACTTACATTCCTACCAGCAGTGTAGGAGGGTTATAGAGGGAAAGTTCTGCATGTAAGATACTGAAAGTGGAGTAGTTTCAGGCCCTCTTAAGCCCTAGGGTGCCACCTAGCAATGGGGTTGCTGAGACGAGGTCCCAGCTACCCTGTTTTAGAATGCAGGAGGCCAAGAGGCCGTTTTAGAAAGACTTCTATTTAAAACTTTAAATGTCTATCCCTTAAAGGTTTCATCTTCAGCCATTCAGGAAATTCTACTCTATAAAGTGACTCATTCATTCCCCGAGGGTTCCACAACGCCAAGGTTTTACTGGGCCAACCACAGAGACGTCCATTCCTGGAAGATTGTTCCCATTTTGTCATGGACTTGGAGGGAATATTTTTGAATTCTCAATTATGGAGAACTCAAAACACTTTTTTAGAAATTAGTTCTAAAATCCTTAGGTATTGTCCTTCTCTTACTCTTGAGTATGAAAATTGGAAATGTCTTATGCTCTCCAGATTAAATAATCTTAATGTGCTTAAAAAGGCAATTTAGATTCCAACCCTACTGCGATACAGACACCCCCTCTCCAGGACATCCCAACCACCTTCCCTCCAGTTAGTGGGGGATCCTTTGATCTTCTTTCTTTCTTTTTTTTTTTTAATAAATTTATCTCTTTTTTTTATAAATTTATTTATTTATTTACTTTTTATTTTTGGCTGTGTTGCGTCTTTGCTGCTGTGCGCGGGCTTTCTCTAGTTGCAGTGAGCAGAGGCTACTCTTCATCGCGGTGCGCGGGCTTCTCATTGTTGTGGCTTCTGTTGTTTTGGAGCTCGGGGTCCAGGTGCACAAGCTTCAGTAGTTGTGGCCTGCGGGCTCTAGAGCGCAGGCTCAATAGTTGTGGTGCACAGGCTTAGTTGCTCCGCGGCATATGGGATCTTCCCGGACCAGGGCTCGAACCCGTGTCCCTTGCATTGGCAGACGGATTCTCAGCCACTGCGCCACCAGGGAAGCCCTGATCTTCTTTCTGTAATCTCATCCTCAACCTTAAAATCCCACTGTCCTCACCTCTTTGCTTCCAAAGCTCAGGGCTTAGCTTCCTGCTCTTCTCTATCCACTAAAGAAAGGCTTATTTTCCCTTGAATCATTTTTTTCTTTTTTTATTGAAGGATAGTTGGTTTACAATACTGTGTTAGGTTCAGGTGTACAGCAAAGTGATTTGGTTACACATATATATTAAAAAAAATTCTTTTCCATTATAGTTTATTACAAGATAGTGAATACTGTTCCCTGGGCTGTATGATCATTTTTTAAAGATATGACAAAAAAGCCAAGTTTTTACCAATTATTTCAGACAACTCAAAACTGTTGAAAGGGAAACGTGGGCGTCACCCCCGATGCCCTCTCCAAGGTAAGCCCCACTTGGCCTGGGTATGCACTCTTTCTGAAAAGCTCTCCCAGGCTGAAGGCTTCGGGACAGGGTCTCTGGATCCAAGTGTCCAGCTCTTTGTGGTCCAGCCCACATTTCTGCTGGACACTGTCACCTGAGTCCCTCATTTCAGATACAGCAAACCTTAAGATCTGCTGCAGAATCCACTTCTATAGCCACTGTGGACAGGCATTAAGTGACCTGCAAGACAGGTTTCCTGTATGTAACCGTGGGAACTACCTTGGACCTCTGTGTGCCTCAGTTTCCTCATCTGTAACGTGGGTGAGAGCACCATGATCCCTCACACACTCTTTTGCTCTGATCAGTCTATGCGTCCAGCCCCCTCTTCAATTAATATTTCTAGTTTCCCTTCCTGCACGGGTCATTTTTTTTGCCCAGCAGAAGGGCTTGTGGAGGAGTGTGGAGAACAGGAAGACTGAGGTCACCTTTGGGCTGTTAGCTGTGTGACCCTGCCAATCATGTGGTCCTCTGGACCTTAGTTTTCTCATCTTAAAAATGGGGGACCAGGGCTGTCTGATCTCCAGGAGACGTCCTGGTTCTCCTCTGAACCCCATGATTCTCATGACCTCCTCCTGCCCAGGGTGACCCTTCTGATCCTGAGGGAACAGTCAGCTCAGCGTAGGTGTTTCCTTCTTTCAGCACACAGTGGCAATGGTAGGTTTTGGGGAGGGGACAGTCTGGGGAAGATGGGCCCTTTTCTAGAGCCCCTGAGTCAGTTCCTCATGGTCTGACTTCCTTTTTTCCTTTGAAGCGTTGTGAAGTCTCAGCATATCACCCACGCTCACGTTCGGCTCTGAGAGCGTCCCAACACCATTCCAATCCCAAGTACGAGTGATTTGGAGTGATTTGGAGATGCGTCCTTGCGTGGGGTTTTGAAGGGGCTATAGGATAACCAGGCATCCCGGCTTGCCCTGGACTGTCCTGGCTTTAGCCCTGGAAGTCGCATGTCCCAGGAAACCCCTCAGTCCACACCAGGATGGTTGGTTCCCCTCCCTGTGGTCCCCATCAGGGCCTGGCTGATTTCCCCAGTGGGACGGGCCACGGTTAAATAAAGGAGTCAGCACGGCAGTGAGTCTCAGACTCAGCTGGGGTTCTGGACACATACAGATTCCTGGGCCCCATCCTGGAGGGTCTGAGTCAGTAGATCTGAAGGGGGGGCCAGGAATTTGATGTGATCAGGCCCCCAGGTGGGTCTGGGGCAGGTGGTTCAGGTTCCACACCTGCTAGGCTTGGGGAAATGGAGGAGACAGAGTCAGCTCCTGCTCTTCTGACACAGGCAGGAGCCAGGTAGAGCCAGAACTCCCTCTGATACGCAGGGGAAGGAAATCAGAGCTGTAAAGTGAGTAACGTGAGTACTGGCCAATGTTTTTCCCTCCTCCCACCCTCCAAAGTCATTCAGTGCTTACAAAGCTTGGCTTTGTTCATTATGAGGGCTGACGTGGCATGCTTTGGCAGGGGTCTGCACAGAGGGTGGGTTAGTTGCCAGAAATGGCCATTGCCTGAGGCTCGCATCAGACTCTCCTGTCTCAAAACACCCCTGCACCGGGTGACCCCTCTGGTGAGGGGACTGAGGGGGACCATCACTAAAGCCCCTTGCGGCTCTGATGTTCTGGCCCCGGGCGGTGAGGAAGTAGCCCTGTCCTTATTCTTGGTGGGCAGCTGTCACTGCTGTCGCTTACAAGCTAAGCCTTATTCTAAGATGAAGTGATGCTCTGGTGTCCTCAAGGGCCCTTAGTGATAGGGTTGGTGGAACAGGACCTGGAGGTCGGGTGGCCGTAAAGGGCTCACTTATCCTCTGGGTTCGGGGATGCTCCCTTGTCCCTGATGCCAAAGGATAAAGTGGCAGAGATGTCCTTTTTTTTTTTTTTCTAATTGAGGTATAGTTAACTTACAATGTTGTGTTAGTTTCAGGTGTACAGCAAAGTGACTCAGATATATGTATTCTTTTTTTCAGATTCTTTTCCCTTATAGTTTATTACTGAATATTGTGCATAGTTCCTGATGTCTTCTTATTCATGCCTCGCGTTGTTATTTCGATGGTTTGGTTTTCCACAGTCTCTCTGTCCATGGTCATTCTGAGGGTGCGGCTGGTGGTGGAAGATGGTATCCTTTCCAAACCCTTTGGTGGCCTCAGAGTTAACTTAGAGCTTCTGACTGGGCACATGGCAGTGCGTTTAGACACAGTCCTCTTGCTGAGATGTGTTCCAGGAGCAGCGCCCCTACATCCGGACCTACAATTCAAACTCCAGCTCCTGCTTCCAGTCTCCTCCAGTCCCCACTCCTCTGGGTGAGCAGAAACCCCCCTGAGGGCTCTCTCCCCTCCTGTGGACACCAGACTGTGACCTTCTTGGAAGACAGTGGTGCAGTGCCAAGTTCAAGTCCTGGGTTCAAATCCTGGCTCTGCTATTGACTAGCTGGGTCTCCATGATAAAAACATGGCAGGGACTGTGATGGTTCTAATGAGGCAGTCGCTAGGAGACTGTTCTGCCAGTTCCTTCCCACCTTCCCCACCCCTCAAATAATAGCAACTAGCAAGAAACTACAGGAATCTAACAGACCCTTAATCCACTAACCCCTTCTGCAGACAATGCAAAGGAACAGGCAGTGCAGCATCGTGGGTAGGACCTCTGGCTCCAGAGAGGGGCTGCCTGCATCCAGTTCCAGCCCCCCCACCCCCTACAAGCTGTTCTTCCTTAGCCTCAGTTTTCCCCTTGCCTTGTAGATAGGGTTGTGTTATTAAATGAGGGACCATACGTGAAGTGTTTGGCACGGTGCCTGGCACGTTGTAAGTGCTCAATAAATGTTAACCATTGCTATTTTTGTTATTGTTGCTATTGTCTGCTTTAGAGAGGGCCCCCTGGCATGCTGGGTATAGGCTGGTGCGAGTGAACTGTGCCAATAAAGCCAACCCCGGCCAGAGATGGATGCTTAATAGGATGTATGGCCAGCATCTGCCGCGCCCTCCCCGGTTGCCGTGCTTACTGACCTGGGCACCTGGTTCTCTCTCTGTTGCTCGTGCCTCTCCAGCTCAGGTCTAGGTGACGCCATTCCAGCCTGGTGTCGTTCCATGACTGCTTCTCTGCGGTCCCCTCCTGGACGCTGTGGTTTCAGTTTTGCTCCAGCTGAGCAGAGGCAGACCCCACAGGTGACAGAGTGAAGGGTGAACTGGAGGGACCAAAGACCAGGTGTTGGTTGAAAATCTCCAGTGGAGGCACGGTGAAGGCTGGAAGGGCACGAGCCATGGCAAGGGAGAGAGGACAGCTTTAAGAAGTGTTCTGAATTTAGAACTAATAGGATGTGGCATTCTAACACATGAAGAGAAGAGAAGAAGTGAAAAATAAATGATACTTCTAACTTGAAAAGCCCTATTTTATTCTTTCTATGCTTTACTCAATGGATCTCATCAATTCCTGTGACTTTAAAGACCGTTTCTAGGCTGATAATCTCCAAATTCTCAATTCCTTGAGCTCCAGCCTTGCCCCTTTCACTTGGATGTCTCTGGAGGCATTTCAAACTCAGCATTTCCAAAATGAAACTCCAAAAGTGGCTTGCCTCCCTCACTCCCAAATTCTTTTCTCCATCTCAGTAAATTGCGCTACTCTCCCTTGTGTCCAAGGTAGAACATATGAGTGTCATCCTCCATGCCTCCCTTTTCCTCATCCCTTGTATCCCACTCACCAGCAAGTCCCATCATGTGCATCTTGGGACTACATCACAAAGGAAACACACCATCTCTCTCCAACTCTACTGCCACCATCCAAGGCCAAGCCACCATCCTCTCTCACCTGGGAGACTGTGAGTCCACACTGGGCTCCTGCTTCCACTCTGGCTCCAAATTCCAGCCATTTGTTCTAGGAACACAAATTTGACTGTTCATCCTCTTACCCAGTGATTTCCAACTGCACTTAGCATGATAATCACCACCATCCCATGGCTCACACTTTTCTGTCCTGGATCTCGCCTTCATCTGACTTCCCGCCTCCCGTCACTCTTCTTTGGCCTCACTGGCTTCCTTGGGGTCCCCATGACGCGCCAAGTCTTTCCTTCTTTGGGTCCATCGTGGTTCCCACTGTCTGGAATGCTCTGCCTCATCTTTGCACGGCCAGCTTCTCTTCATCCTTCAAACTTCAGCCTAAGTGTTCCCTCTCAGCTCCCTGCCCAAGACCTAAGGAGACTCAACATCCTCCTCGTCATCCTCTTTATTTATTTTTATTTATTTATGGCAGCGCTGGGTCTTCGTTGCTGCATGTGGGCCTTTCTCTGGTTGCAGCGTGAGGGGTCTACCCTTCGTTGTGGTGCGCAGGCTTCTCATTGCGGTGGCCCCTCCCGTTGCGAAGCACGGGCTCTAGGCGCGTGGGCTCAGCATTTGCGGCTCGAGAGCTCTAGAGCGCAGGCTCAGTAGTTGTGGTGCATGGGCTTCGCTGCTCTGAGGCACGTGGGATCCTCCCGGACCAGGGATCGAACCCGTGTCCCCTGCATTGGCAGGCGGACTCCCAACCACTGCGCCACCAGGGAAGCCCCTCATCGTCCTCTTTAGCCAATCACTTCACTCAGAGCGCTCACTGTTCACAACTTGACATTTTCACTTGTTCATCTTGTTCATTGTCTCCCCCACTGGAGTGGCAAGCCTATAGGGCAGCCTGGCACAGAGAAGGTGCCAACAGGCATTTGTTGAATCGATGAACAGGTGGCTGATGGGGCTATGCACTTAAGGAGCACAGGAGAACGCTGATAGTCAAGGGGTGGCAGAGGGGCTGTCAAGGGGACTTGAGACCAAGGGATAGGCAGGTAGTGTCAGTAAAAAGAGAGGAGTACCACATTGGTAGGGTATACTTTTGGCTGCAGGTAACAGCAAAAGTGTCCAGTGGTGATGTAGACAAGAGGGATTATTTTTAAAAATTAAAAAATTAAAGTATAGTTGATTTACAATATCGTGTAAGTTTCAGGTACACAGCACAGCAATTCAGAATATATATATTCTTTTTCAGATTCTTTTCCCTTCTAAGTTATTACATAATATTGAGTGTAGTTCCCTGTGCTATACAGTAGGTCCTTGTTGGTTATCTATTTTATACATAGTAGTGTGTATATGTTAATCCCAACCTGTCAATTTATCCTTCCCCCAACCCCTTTCCGCTTTGGTAACCATTAGTTCGTTTTCTGTGTCTGTGAGTAAGAGGGATTCTTTTTCTCATGGTTGAGATGGTCAGTAGCAAATCTCTGGTCAGTGCCACTGAGGTCCTTTTGATCTCCCCTCAGCTTCAGGCATCACATCCTCCCACGACTGAGTTCAAAGACAGAAAAGGGAGCAACCTGGGCAGACATTGTCCTCACGGCTCCCTCGTATTGGTGGGGGTGGGTGGTGGTAGAGGGGTTGTCCCCAGAAGACCCCCGTTTATCTCCCCCTATATCCCGCTGGTCAGAAAGGACCCATGCTGCCCTTGGACCAGAAGCTGTGCCCATCTTGCTGAAATGAAAGAATCTCTTTCCTGTCCTTGAACTAAGCTGGGATTCTGCCAGCGAAGGAGAAGGGAAATGGCTTTGAGTCAGCAACAAGCAGTGCTGGCCCCAAGTACATCTCACATGGAAGAGTCTTTTCCGTTGGGTTCACTGCTACAGAGAGGTCAAATGGGATGGGTGTTGGGAAGTGGCCGCTGGATTCGATGCTTGTAGACTATTTGTGGCCCTTGAGAGGCAGTTCCCATCGAGTAGCCGGGCTGGGCTGCACCTGGCAGGGGCTTAGGAATCCCTGGGAGAAGCTCAGGAGATGAAAGTGGGCTACCAGGAAGTTTGGAGTTAAAGCGTAGAGGAGAGATGGGACGGTCTCTGGGCACAGGAGGCAGACACAGGAGGTCTGACTTTTCATCCGGGACAGACTTGAAGATGTTTATAGGCGGAGCAAAAGAAGCCAGCAGGAGAGAGAGGGTAGGGATTTTGAAGCAAGATGGGGTAGTTGATTCCTGTGTTCTGAAAGAAGTATGGGAATGGGATCAGTGCACAAGAGGTGGTGGCTGTTACTGGAACAAGTGGGGAGGCTTTTCTGAAGAGACTCAGATGCTTCTGAGACTGGGGGGAAGGAGGAGGGAAGTGGGGAGGACGGTGAAGACTCCCAGGAGAGACAGAGATTCCTTATTTTCCTTGATGTGACAATGGGCTCACTTAGAGATTGAATTCATGATATTGATCTTTCCATCAACCCATCATTTTAACATCTGATATAATAGACTCTAAAGAGACAGATCACGTTCCTGTGGTCGTACACCGGAAGGTCCAAGGACAAAGCCTATCCCTGAGTTTTCTTGTTCAGATGGACGCAGCCACCCAGGACGTGGTCAGGGGCATGGCTATTGCATGATGCAATCCAGAGGGTGGAGGTCACTTCGCACACAGCATGGAGCTGCCAGATCCTGTAGCCGACGGGCAGCAGGGCGGAGAGGGAGAGTCCTGGGCTGCACACAGAGGACTTGGGAGCCAGGTCAAGGTCCCCCACTTACAAGCTGGGGTTCGCTGGCATCTTCCAAGCCTGAGCTTATCTGCTGAGGGGGGTGGGTTACGGTGCTTGTCTCCTCCCTCCGCTGCCCACAGTTATAAAACGTGCTGGCTTCTCACAGGGATTAAGGGAATGCCTTCTTGCCCCGTCACCACCCCTCTATGGGGAGTTTGGACCCTGCTCAGTAGCCCCTGGAATAGGATGGTACTTTCTTCCCCATTAGCCCTGGCCTGTCACTTCCGAAATCCTTCCCCTTGTGTTTCACGGGATGATGGCGCAGCGCCCAGCTCGTAGAACTGGGAGCCAAACCTTCTCCTCTGTTTACTCAGATCGTAGCTATGGCTGCAGCAAAAAGCAAACAGCAGTTTGACTAGATGCATGAACTCAATATTCCACAGCCTCGGAAGCTCGTGTCTGCTTACGTAGGAGGCGTAGCGCACAATATTATGTTGAAGTGACTAACAGCCCCAACAGGAAAAAAAATGCATTTTTAAGAAAAAGTTCTTAGCAGGAATGTTCAGATACTGAGTTGGTAAGACTGACACTAGTTCTGTGTGTCTCCTCTTCAGAATCTCCTTCCTGTCCATCCCCATCACATGCTGCCTCGGGGTGTGGGTTCTGAAGGGGACATGTCTGCCGTGTGGTCACCCTCTTTACCCAGCCCGTGGGGTAGAACTTTGGGCTCCACACACGTTCACGGAGTCGCTGGGGGAGGCTGATGCTGGTAAGAAGTGAGGAACAGAATCATTTGATCCCATTAAGGCTGCCATGATTGGATCAGTCCTGCGCATTGGCTGGGTCGCCTGGACCCCACTTCGTCATCTCTAAAGTGGGACTAACGATAGTTTCTCCGGCATGGGATGGCTGTGGAGAGTCAATGAGTTTATACCTGTGAAGTGTTTAGGAGGGTGCCCAGAGGCAATCGGCGACTCAGTCAACAAACACAGAGCGCCTGTAACTTGTCCCTGTTGTGCCTTGTGGGAAGGAAGCCCCAGATGCGTCTGTGCCCTCGAGGAACCAGCATCTATCTGGAGAAGGAAAATTGGACACTGTGGACATCAATAGAGAACAGTGAGGCCCGGGGGAACAGCCTTTCCTGTAGCAAGGACGTCCTGGAGGGTGAACAGCTGCTGGGTGGGGTGCGCTGTCAGCCAGCCCTGCTTAATCTCTTGGCAGCCGAGGCAGGGAGAAAGGAGAATCTGGTATTCATTGTGTAGCTGTTTCTGATTTCCTTCTGCTTTTGAGATCCTCTTCTGAGGGAGAACAATGGCCCCAGAGGCTCAGGCTTCCTTGGCCAGGTACCCGCCAAGCTCTGGGGGAGGCAGCGCCC